CACACACACACACACACACACACACACACACACACACGCACACACACGTAAGTACACATTTAACTGAAACTGTTGTTCTTGTGTTTGTTGTTTGTGTTTGATTTGCTTTCGTATTGTGAAGCACTTTGGTCAACCCTTGGCTGTTGTAAGGTGCTATATAAATAAATGTTGATTGATTGACACACACACACACACACACACACACGTAAGTACACATTTAACTGAAACTGTTATTCTTGTGCTATATAAATAAATGTTGATTGATTGATTGATTGACATACAGTACACACACGTTCCTGTGGAACCGACAGTGTGTTGATGCATCAAATGACTCTTAACCATGATCAGGGGAAGTGTGGACGTGATGGTCCCCACTTCCTTCCTGGTCCCCTCTGATCCAGGTCTGTCAACCTCGTGGACACAAACTCACTTTACCTTTCTCCTGAGACGAATCTGCTGCTGAGAGCTGTAGGACAAACGCTTCGGGTCCATGTTGGAGGGTCCAGAGGGCATGTGGAGGGTCCTGAAGACTTAAGGAGGGACCTGAAGGGACTTGGAAGGTCCTGAAGGGTATTGGATGGTCCTGAAGGTATTTAGAGGGTCCTGAAGGGCTGTGAAGGGTGTTGGTGGGTCCTGGGGGGATGTTGAGGGTCCTGAAGGGTCCTGAAAAGGTTGGGAGGGTCCTGAAGGGTGATGGTGGGTCCTGAAGGTCCTGCTGTTCTTGTCAGATTGAGGACAGCAGCGACGTGGGTCTAATCAGCTGCAGACAGAACAGAGATCTTTTGTCTTATTGTTTATTGTTGTACCAGGCTCTCTCTCTCTGTGTGTGCCTGTCTGTGTGTGTGTGTGTGTGTGTGTCTGTGTAAGTGTGTTTCTGTGTGTGTTTGTAGTTAAACAAGTAGTTATGTGTATAACCTTCAATCCTGTTTTTCATGTTTGTTTCTTCACATTTCAAACTATTTCTTCTGAAGGAAAACGTTTCAGACATTAGACGTAGTAGATTTGTTTCATTTTTATTTTTTTCAGGGTCAGTAACAGTTTTTCCCATCAGCCTTCGCTGTCACTTGAAGTAAACATGAACCATGTGACGACAAGCTCAGTACAAACACAAAGTGCTGAAGACTGAATGATTCAGTGTCGCCTCCTGCTGGTTAAAACAGGCATGAAGGATCAGTGATCTGTGATCAATACAGATCAAGGCTGATCCATATTGATCGATAAATACTGATTGATACTGTGGTGTGCTTTGAAGAGCTGATGAGGTATTTCACCGTTTCACACCCGGATGAACAAATCTGCCGGTTTATCATCGTTTCTTAAAAAACTACAAAATCAATCAACTCTTCCTCTCGTCTGTGTCAAGCATTCTGATTGGCTGTTAAACACTACAGGAAGCAGTGATGCCCCTTGGACTCATAAAACATCAAATTACAGCTACACATAAATAAAAGTCTGTGAGTAAAATTTGAATCATTCACGTTTTTTAAAATGTGATTTTTGCAGTTGAGCCCTTGGCCGTTTGAAATGATTTGGATTCTTCATCGTTAGTTGAGAATAAAAAAAGACTTGACGAGGTCGTTCGAGGCGCAGCTTCAGTCCCACAAACAAGATGTCTGTGTCGCAGCGCAGAGCTGGAACACATTCAAGGTTTATAACAGTCTGGTCGGTGGCCAGCGAGCAGCACAGCGACTCCACAAGAAATTATTTGCATTGACTGGCATGAGGCAGCAGTGACTCCGCCCACTACAAATCAGTATGACATCACAACCGGTGAGGGGGGGTGTCCTCCCTGCTATAGGGTCAATTCCAGGCTGAATCTCCAGCCTCCTGACATCACATGGTCACATGACACTCTCTCTCAGAGCACCATCGCCCTCTGGTGCTCCGGGGGCGGAGCTCAGCGTCGGGACCTCGATGGACACGTCTTTTCGTCTCACGGAGTCTTTGGAGTGATAGTCGTCGCTCTGGTCCTTTGCAAAGTTCACAAACACCTGAAACGACAAAAAGGATCAGTCTGGGACTCTGCAGACCACAACTCCCATCAGCCCCAGTACCTTCATCCCCCCCCCATCCTCATATAGAGATCAACTAGCCCCTCCCACACTAGGGAGTAAAATCATGTTAAAATGTGACTAGTCACACTTTTGAATGATGACATCACTGCTCAGATGCGTTAAGGACGTGTTACCTGGTCGAGCGTGGTCTGAGTGACGGAATAGTCTTCGATCCTCAGCGTCTCTTTGTTTTTGGCGAGGATAGAGAAGATGTGAGCGAGCGAGGTGAGCGATGATGGCAGCTGGTACTGCAGCATGTTGCGATGTTTCTCCTTCAGCGTGCTGCCACTCAGCTCGCTCTCGATGAACTTCATGACAGGCAGCAGGTCAGGGTCGGGCCCTGCCACCCGCAGGATGATGGTGTAGCCGTCACCAAACCTGGGAGACAAAAATGAACTGTTACAATGAGCTGCTGTCCTGCAACCGTCACACTGTCTCTCCCCAGTGGCTGTTTCAAAAGACATATTTTCTGATGTTTTATTTAGAAATTAGAAAAAGAGTGAAGGTACCAGATTGTGTTTGTTTGTTTGTTTGTGTGTGTGTGTGTGTGTGTGTGTGTGTGTGTGTGTGTGTGTGTGTGTGTGTGTGTGTGTTACCTGTTCTTCAGGTGTTGGACGCTGCCGAGACATCTGAACCTGCCGTTCACCATGATGGCCATCCTGGTGCACAGAGCCTCACACTCCTCCATACTGAACGTGCACACAAACATTGTTAAGACTTAGACACAAACATCATACGTCTGTCCTGTGAGATTCAGGACATAAACACTGAGGTCACATGTCACACCTGTGTGTGTTACCTGTGTGAGGTGAGGACGATGGAGCGTCCCTCCTTGATGACGCTGTGGATGCAGTTCCAGAGCGCCCGGCGAGCTTTGGGGTCCATGCCCGTGGTGGGCTCGTCCTGTGACAAGGAGGACGGCGAGGTTGAGGTCGGCCCACAGGTGGAGGAGGAAACACAAAGAGAAGGTGAGGAGGAGGGGGAGGAGCATGGTCTCACCTCCACCTGTGTGATTCTTCTTCTTTGACTTCACTTGTCTGTCTCGTGCCTTCTTCCCTCGTCAGTAAATGCAGCAGCTGCTGTTTTTAAGCCCCACTGTTATACAACTCCCCCTCCAAATCCTGCTGAGCTGCTCTGTGATTGGCTGAGAGCGCTCTGCTGCTGTTGTGTAACTGTTAACTCGTCGCTGCACTGTAAAAACATTGAGCTGTAAAAACATTGAGGTCGACCTGTCATTTGTTTAGGGAGCTTTCAGCCAAACATGCAACTAAAACATTTCCATGACAACCAAACATTGATGAAGTGAAGCTGAAACAAACAGTGAGTTCAAATGTGGAGGAAGAAGAAATTGTTGTTACCAGGAAGACGACAGGTGGCGCTCCGATCAGAGACATGGCTGTGGACAGTTTCCTCATGTTTCCTCCGCTGTAACTTCCTGCTGCTTTATCAGCGTACTTCAGAAGACCCAACTTCCTGATCCCCCAGTCCGCCACCTGCCAATCCAATGAACATCATCATGAGTTTACAGTGTCACCTTTACATTTTACAGCATTCAGTGTCAAGTTTACAGTGTGATGTTAGAGTTTACAGTTTATAGTATGTTTTATCGGACTTACATCACAGACTTCCTTCTCGGGGACTCCTCTCAGGACAGCATACAGCTCCAGATGTTCTCGTCCCGTCAGCAGCTCGTTGATGGCGTCAAACTGAGGACAGTAACCCATGTTCTGATGGACCTCATGGATCTCCCTCAGGATACTGCAGACACATCAAAGACACATAACAGACACGTCAGTACAAATGCAACCCGAGTTCAGGTGTCAAAGGTTCAGTGTGTAGAATGTAGTGACATCTAGTGGTGAAGTGTCATGTTGCAGCTCAGTACTACTCATAGAAACTCAAAAGGTTTAGTTTGGCCAGTCTGAGCTTCTATAAAAAACATGGCGGCCTCCGTAAAGAGGAGACGCTCCTGAATTATATATAAAGTATCTAAATATAAAGTATCTAAATATAGAGTATTCATTCATAAAGGGCCCATTCTAGTGAAGAAAACCACTATCTGTACATTTTAGATGAACACACTATGGATTATTTTATATTAAATTTCTGCCGATAGGTCTTTCACCTAAATCTTACACACTAAACCTTTCAAGGTCCCAGAGCCGCAGGTTGAAAAACCTAATGCAGCTCAGAGTTTAATTCCTGATGATTAACGTTTCACTGGTTGTCATGGTAACAAGGTCAATCAGCTGCACTTTACTAATAAACAACAATAATCCAGTGTTGAGGATCACCTCAGGTCACCACCTGCTGCGACCTTTGACCTCACCTCTTCCCAGCCAGGAACGCCTCTCCGCTTGTCACTACCGTGTCTCCTGTGAGCATCTTAAAGGTCGTCGTCTTTCCAGCTCCGTTCACGCCGAGGAGACCGAAACACTACACACACACACACACACACACACACACACACACACAC